TTTCTCCTGTTATCTGAGAAATTATTTCTGATTTAATTTTTTCAGATCCCCTTTTGTTGCCAGTTCAGTGGGTCCAGGTAGTTGAGTATCAGAGTGTTCCATCTCATTTCCCTTTGGGGTTGCTGTAGGTGATCTGGAAGTCTGGTTTTGAGACTTATTTACGTGTTTTCTCATTTTGACTGGGGGAGCAAGGGGGTGCTGTTGGTGCCTGCGAGGATCACCTCCTCTGAGCTGGGTGAGGTGGGACAGGGGCTGGGAGCAGCGGTAGGGATGGTGGTCCAGAAGCCCCTTCTTCTGGGCCAGGAGCGGCGGGACAGAAGGTGGCCCAAAAGCCCTTTCCTCTGGGCTGGAGGCAGTGGGAGGGATGGTGGCCAGGAAGACCCTTCCTCTCTGGACCAGGAACAGTGGGACGGCGGCTCAGAAGCCCCTACCTCTTGGCTGGGAACGGCGGCAGGGATGGTGGCCTGGAAGCCCCTTCCTCTGGGCTGCGAGCGGTGGGACAGAAGGTGCCCCCAAAACCCTTTCTTCTGGGCTGGGAGCAACAGGAGGGATGGTGGCCAGGAAGCCCCTTCCTCTGGACCAGGAGCAGTGGGATGGCGGCTCAGAAGCCCCTACCTCTGGGCCGGGAGTGGTGGGACCCAGTACCATGGTCTGGTGGTCTGGTGTCCTCTCTGTCTTTGTAGTGTGGAACCAGGTGGCTGCCTGTCTGCAGTGGGCCGTTTTGGCACATTCCACGCGACTCGTGACCTCAGTAGGCCTCCGCAGACCTCCGTTTTATTTTATTTATATATAAGACAGGGTCTTACTGCAAAATAGAAATCTGTAGTCATAGTGGGAAATGTTAACACTTTCAGTAAGTGGTAAGAAATGTAGAAGAAAAAAATCAGTAAGGAATTTGAAAAATTTGAGCAACATAAGTTAAGACTTGACCCGAGGGGCATATGACCCAAGCAACTCAGATCACACACATGCACGTTTTCAAAATTTAAAGTGAATACACTGTCTGGCCATAATAGACTTAGCTAGAAACCAGTACCAAAAAGTAGCAAATCTATGTGTTTGGAAAGAGTACATCTCAGTCGAAAGAAGAAAATATTTTGTATTAAAATATGATAAAAATACTATGTGTAGATCCTTGTGCATGTAGCTAACACTATGTAAGGGGGACATTTAGACCCTCATATATATATATTAGGAAAATATGAAAAGAAATGAGCTAAGCATGAATTTCCAAAGTTAGAAAACAACAACAAATTAAATACACAGTTAAGAAAAAGTTGTCAGTAAAGATAAGAACATACATCAGTAAAATAGAAAACATAGGTACAAAAAGAGAACAAAACAAAAATGTTAATGCTTTGAAAAGCCTAATGAAATTTGAAATCCATCAGTAAGACTAATCAAGAAGTAAAAGGGGACAAATAACCCCTATCAGCAAATAATTTAAAATAGAAAAACTCCATAACTCATAAAATTTATCAAAGTTAACACTGTTCAAAAAGGTAACACTGTTTAACAAAGTTAAAAATCTGAGGGCTGGAGATTTAGCTCAGTGGTTTCTCCGCCTGCTGTGCAAGTGCAAGGACCCTAGTTTGATCCCTGGTACCAAAAATGAAAAAATCTGAATAGTCTTATAACTATTTTTTTAAAGTTATAATTTATAACTTTCTTACAAAGAAATTTCCATCAAAAATTTAAGGAAGTGATAAACCTAGCCTTTGACTCTTAACACAGAGTAGAAAAAAATAATATTTTATGAGCGCTACATGCTATTATAAGAAAGGAAACTGGTTCATTTAAACCTTTGAAATGAACTGAGGTATAAAAATCTTAATAGAAAATAATGGCAAATTCAATCTAGCAATATTTTAAAAGTATAACACATTTCAAGATATAACACATTATGACCAACTTAAGCTTTTCAGGGAACACAGAGGTTGGTTTAACAGTTGAAAATTAATCATTCTAATTCATGACTTTTTCCCAAATGAAGGAGGAAAAATGTTTATTTCAATACATGCAGAAAAAGCATTTGATAAAATTCAAAATTCATAGTGTAAAAAACTTGATAGATGAGAACTTTTCAAGCTTATTTGCCCAAAAAGCTGCAACAATAAGTGAAATATTAAAGAATTTTCTTACATTAAGAATGAGTCAAGGATATTACACACTACTTATTTTTATTTATTTGAGACAGGGTCTCGCTATGTACTTCAGGCTGGTCTTGAACTCACTATGTAGCCCAGGATGGCCTCGAACTCACAGCAATCCTCCTGGCTCAGCCTCCCGAGTGCTAGGACTACAGGTGTGTGCCACTGTGCCCAGGCTATACCACCATTTCAATGGACTCAACTAATCCAGTGAGGCAGGAAAAAGGCTGATCTTTTCATATATAGCCACTGTGAATATGTACTATATTGAAAATCTAAAAGACCATAATTGCTATTGCACCACGATTGTTATTACTAACAGGTAAATTAGTAAGATGGTTTGCTCTGAGGTAAATGTAAAAAATTTTGAATATGAAAAATATTGAAAATCTAGGAATAAATGTAGTGAAACTATGAAAGCTATGAACACGAAAACTACTCCTTTATGTTTAGTAGGTTTTGTGCACTTCTTAAGATTATACCTGTGCCATAGCATAGACATAGTTTTCCATGCTCATTTACACTTTGTCTTATTTTTCACATTGAGAAGTACAGTCCACTTGGAATTAGTTCTGGGATATGTTGTAAGTGAATAAAAAATATTCTATAGCAATAATCAGTTGACTCATATCATATATTTTATGAAAAGACTGTCTTTGCCTGCTATTCTGCTTTGTCATAAGTCAAGTGTTTCATCTATGCTTACATCTGCTTCTGATCTATTTTGTCCCATTGCTCTGCTAAGACCATACTGTTTTGTGAACTTTGATATGTGCTTGTTTAAGAATGTGTTTGATATGGCTCCTTGTATTTTCCAATACATTTTAGCCCTTTGGGGGACTATGGGATGATATCCTACTGTCATTTAAATTTGTAGTTCCATGATTGCCAACATCTTTTCATAGGAATTTTGACCATCTAGAAACTTCTTTTGTAAAATGACAGTTCAAATCTGCTGTCTTTTTCTTATTTATTTATAGTTTTTTTATATATATTCTAAGATTTTTGTTTTTTATATGTGAAGCGAATAATTTCTGCTTGCCTTTTTACTCTCAGTGAAATCACTTGATCAACACAGGCTCCTAATATCAATGTAGTACATAATGAAGCTTTTGTTGTGTGTGCTTTTCATCTGTTCTTTATAGAGAGAATACTGATAAGCCTTAGATTCTGCATAAATAAAATTAAAATTTAATCCTAACCATTCTGTTTTACATGTAACGGATATTTGCTTTGCAGCTGTGGATTTCTTCAATCAGATCAACATGCTTTATGGAACCATCACAGACTTCTGTACAGAAGAGAGTTGTCCAGTCATGTCAGCTGGACCAAAGTAAGGCATGGTTAATGATCAGTTCTTATCTTTATTTTAAATGAATTCTTAGATAAGAAGGAAGTTTCTGACTGTGATTTTTTTTTTCTATTTAGCAGTTCCTTTAGTGGTTTGCCACTGACTTGATATATCAAGTCTAGATACCTTAGTTTGAGTTTTATGACCCTCCCTGTATTGTCTTCCATCCTGCCTTTTTTGTGTACACTCTTGTATATTCTTTGGTCTATCTACATTAGATTATGAAAAATACCTGCTGTTCCCTCCATTACTTACTTTCTGAAAACTTGTTTAATCTGTTTTTCTCTTGGACATTTTCTTGTCTTGCATTTCTCTATCTTGTTAGCATATAAAATCAAGTCTTATCCATCTTCAAGTCCCATATCAAGTGGTTCTCCTTGAAGCTTTCTGATTTCTTCAGAATAGATGTGATCTATTTATTTTTTAGGTTTTTTACTTTTATAATGATTGCATTTTTTTACTACATTATACTTCCTATGCCATTTGTCCTCCCTCCCCCCCGTGAGATTGAACCCATGACCTTCTGTGTGTTAAGCAAGTGCTCTATCATGGATCTATATACTCCTAGCCCATACTTGCCTTATTTATCCTGTTAGATTTGTTTTTCTGTTCATCTCTTGTGCAAGGATATTACCACCTAGTTAACAATAAATATTAGTTGGACTTAATACATTTTTGAAACTAGCTTTTATTGTTACTGTTACTAATAATAACAATGGCAACTGCTGTTCTTTTAAATGATAACTAAATAAAAGACTTTTCATGCATTATATATTACTTCATACTACAACATTCACCACAAAAATACTGCCTTCTGAACTGTCATGAATGTAAAGAATTTAGTCAAATGAACAATCAAGGAATTCATAGCAGAGGTACTGTATAAGAAGTCTGGAAAGATATGGAGATACCATATTTAGAGTTCAAACATAAGTTAGCTTCTCAGTAAAGAAAAAGGCACAAAGCTGTGTCTGGTTCTTCTCTTTTGAGGCCCCAGGGATGGACAGCTGCAGTTATTCAAAATCCAGTGCCTCTCAACCCCCTTGTTCCTGCTAGACATCTTCCTGTGTAGTTGGGTGTTTATTCTAGAGAACTGTCCTCTTTGGTCATTGTTGCAGGTGCCTCTTTTTGTCTTTCCTAATCCCATTTGATTTTACATGAATTTGTTAGTGCTTTTCAGTTTTAAATATAGTGGTTCAGAGACAAGAGTTTCCTCATTTCATCAAAGAATATGAATTTCTGTTACTTGTTATTTTGGGAAAATTTCTTAAAGGAAAAGGGGCATTTAAAAATGAAATGCCTTTTAGTACTTGTTAATTCCGGTTAGTGTTACTGGTATTTACTTCAGATACTTAAGTTTCACTAGTGAAAGTAGGTGTTTTCAATTTTGCTGTCACTATATATGGTTAGGTACGCATTGAGGAATGAAACAGCAGTGCCTTCTAGGAAAGCAGGTTCCTCCAGATTTATTTGAGATCTGTATCACTTACCTGAAGTGCTTGGGATATGAGTTGTTTTGGAGTTTGGGATATTTGCATGTACATGGGGTCTCAGGGATGAAACTCAAAGTCTAAGGATAGAAATAATTTTATGTTTCATATAAACCTTTGTGATGGTTTATCCTGATTGGCTTGAGAGATGCTTAGGGGATTAGGAAAGCACACTCCTGAGTATATCTAAGGGGATTATGGAGGTGTGACGTTGGGGAGCATATCTGGTCTGTGGCTCCTTTCTCCTTGGCTCTTTCCAGCCTTCTCTAGTTCCCAGCTGCTGTAAGTTGAGCAGTTTTTATCCACCCTGATGTTCTGCCATGATGTTTCTGCCTTGGAGTCCACTGACCATGGACTGAAAACTCTGAAACCATGAGCCAAAATAAAGCCTTCTTGTATGTCAGGTATTTTGTCTCAGCAACAGAAACTATTATAACCTAATATACATAAACTGAAGGTAATTTTATTATAATTTTAAGTACAGTAATGTTAAGTATTTTTAGTGCACTTGACATTTTCCCTTGACCCATCACATGAGATTAAGTGTGAAATTTTCCATTTGTGAGAGCTTTTCAGCATTCAAAAGATTTTGAAGCATTTCAGATTTTAGATTAGGTGTGCTCATCTTGTACTTAGCACTAGCCCCTTACAAAGTAGTATTGAATGATGGCTCACAGGGCTTGGTTCTCAGTTACTGATTATTATTATTAAAATATGGTAAATGTGTTGAAGTTGTAGTTTACAAGTTCATACAGTGATAACAGAAAAATTTCAAAGACAAGTTCTCTCAAAATTAGAGTAAACAAATGGGTAGAGGGAAGATAGAACTACAAAATGAAGGAAAGTGTCTCAAGTATAAACAAGAAAAAGATTAGGGAATCATAGTTGTCAACTCTAGAAGCATCAGCAACAGATGTTTTTCAAAAATAAAGATGAAAGTTGATTTCTTTAAAAAAAACCACTTCAGTGTATTGAATATGATTCTTCAGTTTAATGTGTCTACTTTTCACTTTTACACCTGAAAATCATTAACATGATAAAAAACTTTATTGTGAGGGTGGAATACTAAGGTTTCTTTCATAAACATGGATGAATTCTTATCTTGGGTTTGGTTTTTTTCCTTTGAGATGTAGTCCAGGCTGGCCTTGAACTTGCAGTGATCCTCCTGCTTCAGATCGCTCAGTACTGGAGGTACACCACCATGCCCAGCTTTTTAGTTGTCAAAAATTTTCTACTAAACTAATTCTCCTTGAGAGTAGGGAAGTGTCTTTCATTTAAGTGTGCCTAGCTCTTAATATTATTTTCCTTACATGCTAGGTGCACATTAAATGTTTACTAAGTCAAAAGATCATATTCTGTTAATACCCAAACCTAGGAGCATCTTTGAGTTGCAGATTTTTTAAGTGCATGTTTATTGTACTGAAATATTGAATAATTCTCTTTTTTATTAATCTTTGGAGTTTCTGTGTCATTCTGCATCCTTTACACTAAAGCTCCAAGTTATTTATTTATTTACTTTTTGGTACTGGGGATCAAACTCAGGTCCTTGTGCTTGTTTGCAAGGCAGGCACCAGAAGCACTGAATTAAATCCCTGGCCCTCCAAGTTAAAAATAATTGTATTGCATAAGAAAAAATGCTTTTTAGGAAGCAGACCATTAAATTCAAGGGTATCATACAACTGAGAAGTAAGCAAATTTTTTTCTTGTAATAATATATGATTCTACTCATGTCTTAGTTAGTTTTCTCTCATTGCTGAGACAAAATACCTGAGACCCACAAGTTAAGGCAGTAAAGGTTTATTTGGCTTGTGGTTCATAGAGGTTGCAGTCCATAGTTGGAAGGCTCTAAGGCAGAGTGGCACATGAGTTCATGATGGGCAGAAGGTAGCAAAGCTACAAAAGGTCTTAATGCCATCTTTCTGCCCCTTTTATTTTATTCAGACTCCTTAGGGTGGGTAGCACTCATACCCTTAATCCTAGTACCCTTGAGCCTAGCATTGCACCATGAATTAATCCCAGTATCACACACTCTAGATCCACCCACCTCCGAAAAGCCCCACCTATAACCACATCAGGCTTTGGGGGGCATCTAGACACAAGCCATAACAACTTGATATGAGGGAAATCTGAGAAAGGAAGTTTGAAGCCGGGGATTTAGCTCAGTGGTGCTGCCGCCTGCCATGCAGGCGCGCAAAGTCCTGAGTTCGATCCCTGGTACCAAAAAAAAGAGAAAAGTTCAAACACAAAGAAAGTGTGCAAATGTAAAAGGTAAGTCTGCGATGTTTGCTTAGCTTGGGTTGTAATAGATACAAAGCAGCTCATTGGCAGTTTAAAAATACTACATGGCTTTATTTGGATTGTTTAACACTTATTTGTATATATAGTATTTGTATATAGAGAATGTAAAAGTATGTGTACTGTATTTTTTTGTTTTTGTTTTTTCTTTTTTTTTTGGTACGGGGGATCGAACTTGGATCCTTGAGCCTGCAAGGCAGGCGGCAGAACCACTGAGCTAAATCCCTGGCCCCATGTGTACTGTATCTGATATTCTGTTTGCTTTTTCTCCTTCCATTGCAGATATGAATATCATTGGGCAGATGGAACAAACATAAAGAAACCTATTAAGTGTTCTGCACCGAAGTATATTGATTACCTTATGACTTGGGTCCAGGATCAGTTGGATGATGAGACATTATTTCCATCAAAAATTGGTATAATTATTTTATGTAATTAGTATCCATCATGGTTTATCTGATTTCTAGAGTTCTCTCACTTTTCCCTCCCTGTCTAGTTGGAGAACTCTACAAAGCTGCATTGACATCTGTATATGTTACAGTTTCCAAGCAAGGCACAAAGTTTGTTAACCCAGTCATAAAATAAGCAGGCTATCTTGTGTAAATACTTTTTCTCATCTTTTAATGTTTTTAAATGCGTATTAGTTGAAAGAATAGGTTTATTAGAAAAATATGATCTACTTCTCTTGACTTAAGCATTTTATTTGTTAAGTTTTTCATGATTCTCCTAAGTAAAATATTACTACATTTTGTTGTTTAAGAATTGTGAAGATCAAGTTAACTCTCTCAGTAGAAGATTGTAGAGATTTGTTCCTGTTCCAGAATCACACTGGGTTTGTGTACCTTTCAAAATAGTTCTGATGTTATGCATTTAAGAATGTCCTATCTTTTTTATACCAAGTTTATTATAAACACTGAGATAAACCTACCTATATTTTTAAATGATAAAAAGATTAGGTAGGCAACTAATGACGGCACCACATCATATTTAGCTCATACTTCTTTTTTTTTCTCTCATTAAATTTATTAGTACATTTTAGGTATACAATATGATGATATTCATCATTGGGAATTTGTACCTTTACATGATATATCTTGGTTCTTATTTTTTTCCCCATTTCCCAGCCCTCCCTTCAACCCCTTTGCCCCTCCCTATTTACAAAGACTTTGTTTCCATTTTTTCCTTTTCTCATATTTATTCTTTTCCCTTCTTTCCTTTCCTCTATGCTTCCTACTTCCCCTTCCCCTTTGGACCTTTTCTATTTCACATTATCTGTTATACATTTTGATCCTTATTTACACTTTCCGTTTCTCAGACCAGAGAAACAATTTGGTATTTACACATATGTGTCCTTTTTATTTCACTTAAGAGTAGGGCCTCAATTTGCATCCATTTAGCTGTAAATGACTCCAGTTTCTCATTCTTTATGGCTGAGTAGTACTCCATTTATAAAAAAAAAACACATCTTCTTTGTCCAGGCTCCAGTTGATGGACAATTGGGCTGTTTCCAAGTTTTAGCTATTACACACTGAGCTGCTATAAACATGGGTATGCATATATCGCTGTGATCTGATTCTTTTAATTCATTTGGGAAGATACCCAGCAGGGGAATAGCTGGGTTGAATGGGAACTCTAATCCTAGTTTTTTGAGGTATCTCCATATTGATCACCACAGTGGTGGTACCAGTCTGCACTCTCCCACCAACAATAGAGAAGGGTTCCATTCTCCCCACAACCCTGCCAGCATTTGTTATTGGTTGATTTCATGATAGCAGCCATTCTTTCTTGGGTGAGATGGAATCTCAGTGTTGTTTTCATCTGCATCTTTTGAATGACCAGTGATGTTGAACCTTTTTTCATATGTTTATTTGCTGCCTTTACTTCGTTGTCTGAGAAATGTCTGTTCATTTCAGATGCCCGTTTTTGTATTGGGTCTTTAAATTTAGGGGTCTGATTTTTTTTTTTTAAGTTCTTTATATATTCTAGATAGTCATCCTTTCTCTGAGGAACAGCTAGTAAAAATTTTTTTTCCATATTGTAGGTTGTCTCTTAGCTGTGTTGGTGGTTTCTCTTGTAGTGCAGAAGCTTTTTAATAGGATGATATCCCAGTTGTTGATTCTTTGTGTTAGTTCCCATGTTACTGAGGTTTTGTTCATAGTCTTTTCCTGTGCCAATGTTCAAGAGTTCTACCTAACCTATCTTCCAGCAAATTTAGTGTGTTTGTTTTAATATTTAGATCTTTGATCCACTTCAATTTTAGTTTAGTGCATGGTGAAAGATAGGGTCTAGTTTTAATCTGTGGCAGGTTGAAATCTAGTTTTTCCAGCACCATTTATTAAGGAGGCTATCTTTCCTCCCGTGAGGGTGTTTGGCTCCTTTGTCAAAGATGAGGTAGCTGAGTATGTCTGGAGTTGTGTCTGCATCTTCTAATCTATTCCACTGGTCCCTGGGTCTTACCTAAATTTCCTTAGAATTCAGAATTCAGCAGTGAAGCCATGAGGATCCAGGTTTTTCTTTGTTGGTAAGTTTTTAATTATGATTTCAATTTCACTGATTGAAATTGCGGTGTTTAGAATTTTTATATCTCCATTCAGCTTTGGTAAATCATATGTATGTATGAATCTGTCCATTTCTTCTGTGTTTTCTATTTTATTAGAGAATATGTTCTCAAAGTAAGTATTGATGATCCTCTGGATTTCTGTTGGATCTTTTGTGATTTGACCCTTTTTGTTTAGTAATTGCAGGGATTTAAGCCTTTCTTTTCTTTTTTTGATAAAGTTGTGTAGGGAAGAGGAAAAGGTCCCATTACTAGAAACGGTACAGTAAGTCCAAGTCTCCTGCAAGCCACAACAGCACAAGGTGTATTAATTGATATATAGACAGAAAAGATAGAAGAAATAAGACTTAGAGAAGAAGCTGAGCTTTGGGCCTGATGAGTGCTGCTCTGGGGAGCAAAGACTAAAGTCCCTGAATTTGCAACACTTTTAGTCAGTACTTTAGGAGAAACAAATGTAACAGATGACTCAGGGCAGAGAGAGTTTAGTACATCCAGAGAGTGCCAGATATAAAAGGTGACTCAAAGGGCAGAGGTGGCACTGGCAGCAAAAATCCTAGAACAATGAGGAACTATTCAGATGAAGATTTTGTTCTTCCCAGGGTGTCTTCAGCTGGTGGAATTATTATTATTATTATTATTTTTTGGTACCAGGGATTGAACTCAGGACCTTGGGCTTGTGAGGCAGGCGCAGTGCCACTGAGCTAAATCCCCAGCCCTCAGCTGGTGTAATCTTGTCCTGGAGCATCACACACAGCATCACTGGACCATTGAGGTTTTAGGTGTGACTGGAGGTGAAGATAGAGTTACATCTCTTTGATTTGTTGATATTTTTTGTATTGTTCTCTTTGTCTCCATTCCATTGATTTCTGTGCTCGTTATAATTTCCTCTGTTGTAGGAGCTTTGGACTTGTCTTTCTCTTCTTTTTCTAAGAGCTTGAGGTTCAGCATTAGATTGTTTATTTTAGCTGGCTGTGTTTTCCTGCTATGAGCATTCACTGCTATGAATTTCCCTTGTAGATCTGCTTTCATTGTGTTCCATAGGTTCCTGAATGTTGTATTGGCATTATCATTTAATTGTAGAAACTCTTTAATATCTTCTTTAATTTCCTCTGTGACCCATTAGTTGTTCAGGAGAATATTATTCAATTTTCATGTGTTTGTTCTTGCGGTGTTCTTAGGGTATTGATCTCCAATTTAATTGCACTGTAATCTGATAATATATAGGGGATACTTTAATTCCTTTCCATTTACTTAAACTTGTTGTATGAGCTAGCATGTGGTCTATTTTGGAGAATGACGTGTGCAGCTAAAAGAATGTATATTCTGATTTTGTGGCGTGGAACACTCTGTACACATCTATTAAATCCATTTGTTCAAAAGTTTGGTTCAGTTCTAGTATTTCGTTGTTGATTTTCTGTCTAGATGATCTGTGTATTTGTGACGGGGGGGTATTGAGGTCCCCCAGTACAGTTTTGTTAGTGCTTATTTGGTTTGTCATGTCTATTAATATTTGTTTTATATAGTTGGGAGCAGTAATATTTGGTGCATATATATTCATGATTGTCATCTCTTCCTCTTGGATTGTTCCTTTTACAAGTATGTAGTGACCTTCTTTGTCTCTCTGAATTAGTTTTGCTTTGAAATCTACCTTGTCTGCAAATAAAATAGCTACCCCTGCTTTTTTTCTAGGTTCCTGTTGCATGAATTTTTTTTCCATCCTTTTACTTTGAGTCTATGAATTTCTTTTTAAACCAAGTGTGTTTCTTGTATAGAACATATTGTTGGATTTTGCTTCTTATTCCATTCTACCAGTATATGTCTTTTGATTGGTGAATTGCCATTAATGTTGATGGTTATAACTGATATGTATTGACTCATCCTTGTCATATTTTCTTCTTGTTGGCTCTTTTTAAAAAAATTTTTACCCGCTTTCCCTTTTGTTTCTTGCCTTGTCTGATAGCCTCACTTTGTTGGACCTCATGGAGTTGTGACTCTCATTGTATTTTCCTAAGATATTGTTTGGAATTATTTGGAGTGCTGGTTTGGTATTCATGGAGTTTGTCAGGTGTTTTTTATCACGGAAATATCTGATTTCCCCATTAATTTTGAAAGATAATTTTTCAGGATACAACAATCTAGGTTAGAATTTATTTTTTTTAGAGCTTGAAATACTTCACTCTTGGCTCTCCTTGACTTGAGGGCTTGTGTTGAGAAGTCTACTGTGATTCTGTTGGGCTTTCCTTAGTATTTGATTTGTTTCTTTCTAACTGCTTGAAGGGTTTTGTTCTTCTGATGGGTTTTTGGGATCTTGACTATTATATGTCCAGGTTGTGGATTTTTTTGATCATGGCCAGTAGGAGTCCTATGTGCTTCACTTATCTATGTGTCAAATTCTTTTCCCCTGCTTGGGATGTTTTTCTGCCATTACTTCTTTGAACAGGTTTTTTTAATGTTATTTTTATTTTTTCTGCTTTTTTGTGGACTCCTATCAGTCTTATGTTATTCTTCTTTGCATCGTATAGCAGCTGCTGGATCGATTCCTCATGGTCTTGCGAATACTTTTCAACGGAGTTTTTAATCTCCTGGATATCTGTTTGAATCCATTCCATGGTTTTTATTTCTTTCCTATGTTGGGTGTTTATGGTTTCCATTTTTTCATATGCTGGGCATTCTTGGCTTCCATCATTGTCCTGAGCTCATCTTTTTTTAAATCTGTTTCTGTTCTAGAGTCTCTAATTGTATCTTTCATTCTGCTCACCCTCTGTGTAGTTGTCTGGGAAATTATTTCTGTTTTGAATTTTTCTAGAGCCTCGTTCATCTGTTTTGTTACTTCCTATGCTATCAGTTCAGGGTGTCCAGGTGCTTGGTTATCAGAGTTTTCCATTTAGTTGCCCCCTGAATTTGCCTGTGGTGAGCTGGACGTTTGGGTTTGTACCTTGTTTAAGTGTCTTCTCATTTCTATTTTTGTTTTTGGTGCTGTTTTTGGTTTAATACCTAGGCTTATACTTCAATATTGCTTATTGTGAGTATCTTCATTGCTTGTATTTATAACCCTTATGGAATGATTGCTTCTGAGAGATATCTTCAAGGTATAGCTGGTCTTTAGGCTTTGAGTGTCTAATGCCTGTTAGGTAGTCTCATTTTCAGTATACCAGGGAGGACATCTGATTAGATCAATCACAACACCTTAGCCGAAGTCATGCAATCAGCATCCACAATAGCATCAAACACAGGCTAGAAAATGACAATTTGTGGTAGCTAGTAATCTACCTTTATCCAGATGAACTAGATTATAATTGAGGACCAGTACAAAATATGTTTGTAGTAAATAGACCCTTCAATTTTAGTATAGTTGTTGCCGAAGCAAGCCCAAATAAACCCTTCAGTATTGTAAATTTACCCTTCAGGATGAGGACTTAGAAGGAGTTGGGCAGGGAGGGATAGGGAGATAGAAGGAGAGGAAAATGTTAGAAGTGAGGCTAGAGGACAAAGGAAAATTATGCAAATTTTGGGAAACGGTTGAAGACAAGAGGAAAAGACAGAGCAAAGAAACAAAGCCAAGAACAGAACAAACTAAGAGCAATAGGGAAGCTAGAAAATGTATTCACCTTCTTATGAGAATAATGACAATCGAGAGAAGGAAAGAGAGAGAAAAACAATCCTAAATAGGACAGGAACAAAGAGGGAGAGAAATGTAAAACAAGAAGGGATAGAGAGAGAAAAATACAAGAAAATAAGATATATAGAGATCTATATATAGATATGTATAGAAGGGCCTCATTCAGGGTATGTCTCTGCTGTTGCAGTAGACAACGTGGGCAGCAGTGTGCAGACGTAAGTCGATGAGTCTCAGCAAGCCAGCTCTAGTCCACTGAGATTCAGGCTGATTTCTGGTTGCAAGGCCCAAGTTGAGGTCCCTGACCTCTTGCAGGATTGAACTCTGTAAGGTTCTGCTGTAGGTTCCAGCTGCCGTTCCCTGTAAGTGAGTCAGGGTTTCTATGGGAGGTGCTGATTGCAGCAGCTTACCAACCATGGTGGTCCAGTGTGCCTTTATTGAAGAGATTTTCTTCACTTTCCCAGTGGGCTTCAATTTCCATTGAGGAGCCTCAGAGAGGCCCTTTGTGTTTTTTACTTCTGCTCTATCTTCTGGAGTTCATAACCACGCCCCCCCACGCCCCCCATTGTGTGCCCTGGGGGCAGCTGGCCTCCACGTGGTTATTCTAGGGCATTGGGGGCAGTCTTGGCTTCAGTGCAGTGGTTCTTGGGCCATTTAATTCTTACTTTTGGAACAAGTTTATATGGCTTGTATATAGTTTTATATTTGTGGCAAAGAGAAAGTTTTGATTTTATGACCCAGAAAATGAATCTTAAGGAATTTGAAAACAAAAAGAAAATAAGATTTGAGGGGTTGGTTTTTTATTAAGTTTGAATGACTTTTTCTTTTTTAGTACCAGGGATCAAACTCAGAACCCTGTGCTTGCAAGGCAGGTGGTAGAACCACTGAGCTAAGTCCCTGGCCTGACTTTTACTTTTTTACATTTATTTTTAAGGGGAGATTTTTCAAGTAGAAATTGTTCACTTCTAGACAGTTTATATATTCTTACCTTCTCAAACTTATTACAACTGTTTTCTGAAGAAAGCGAAGAATTTGCTCTTCTAATATTATTAAGACAACTTTTTTGACTACATTTTATTTCAGTTTTTGAAAGAGGGGTGTGGTAGAGAAGACAACAATATAGTTATGAAGTATTTTAACATTTAAAAATATGTTAACCATTTTTGGAACTTTTACAGTGAATGAGCTAGTTTTCAAGACTTGTCTTACATATGTATGTATATATAAACTAGTGGATTTGAATAATTGTCCTCACCTTATCTCTTATCATTTTGAACCAATTTCAGACATTCAGAAAATTTGCAAGAGTCCTACAAAGATTTATAGATTCTTCATCTATATTATTTTACTTTTTCCTCCCCCATTCCACTATTCATTAATTTTCCTGACTCATTTGAGAATGTTACTTCTAGTTCATTATCCAGAAGTAATTTAATATGTATTTCCTTAGAAAATCAGAGTATAACTTCCAAAATCAGGAAATTAACACCAATATACTGTTCTGTAATCTGTAGATGTTATTCATTTGTTTCAGGTTTTAGATATAATATCCTTTAATAACAAAAGAAAATCTTTGATTTTTTTTTTTTCCTATTATATCTCCCTTGGTCTTCTGGAATATGTGTACTGCAGTCTTTTTTGGTCTTTCATAAAGATATTTTTGAAAAGTGCACATTACTTTATAGAATACTCTCATTTTGGTTTGTCTTGTGTTCCCTTGTGACCTATATTTTTAAATGAGCAGTGGGCAAAGTTAAGACATGAAACCTAGCAGTACTAGTATTTGGCTGTTATGCCAGTTTGGAACTTTTAGCTAGTTTAATAAAGAATATGACTTTTTAATTTTAAAAAATTTTATACATTATTTTAAATATAGTGATCATGTGCATTAGAGCTTTAGACTTGCGCATCCTGAGTATTTGCTACTTTGTATCCTTTGACGTATATCTCATATTCCACCTGCCACCTCTGATAACTACAGTCTTGTTTTTTTGGTACTGGGATGACTACAGTTTTATTTAATATTTTTTTCTCCAATGTCAGTGAGATTGTGCAAAATTTTTGCTTTTGTGCCTGGCTTATACTTAGCATAATGTTTACCAAGTCCATCCATGTTGTGATATAAGGCAAGATTTCTGCCTTTGTAACACTGAATGAATATTATTTCTGTGTGGGTGAGTATCTCACAACTCCTTATCTATTCATGTGTTGTTGGATACCTAGATTGTTTCCATGTTGTGGCAATTGTCAGTAATGCTGCAGTGAACATGTGAGTGCAGATATTAGTGATGTGGTGTTTTAATTTCCTTCGGGTATGTACCACTCAGAAATGCGATTGCAGAATCATGTAATTTTTTTTTTTTTTTTTTTTTTTTTTTTTTTTTGGTACCGGGGATTGAACTCAGGACCTTGCACTTACAAGGCAGTGTTTTTAATTTCTTTAGGACCCCCATACTGTTTTCCAAAATGGTTTACCAGTCTATATTCCCAACAACAATGTATAAGGACCCTTTTTTCTCCACAGGGATTATATATTTTCTAGTTTTATATCTCTTTAAGGCTGTAAAAATGCTGTGATTCACAAAATAGCCTAATTGAACAGAGATTGCACTTAACTTGGGGACCAATATAAACCTGGAGTAGTAATGCAATAATTTGTTTAGAAAAAGTCTGAAATAGCTTACAAGCATTTTAAACAGAACTGAACACAGTGCATTCCTATTGAGCACATATTTGTATTATGACTTGACGGCAAGAACATTTCATTTTAGTAAAGTAGTAGTATGTTAGGGTACAGCAGGCTCTGATAAAGACTAGTTGTTACGCCACAGAAACCAGAATTATTTTCATTACATGTTGAGAACTTTTGAAAGGCATCACAGGTATATAAAATAGTAATTCATAAATACCGCTTCTTTTCAGCCTTATCAATTTATGTTGCGATTTGATGCCAATAATAAAATCATGGTGCTTTGTTCTTTTATTTAATAGAGGGCATTGTTTATCTCTTTACCAGGTGTTCCATTCCCAAAGAACTTCATGTCTGTGGCAAAAACTATACTCAAACGTCTGTTTAGGGTTTATGCTCACATTTATCATCAACATTTTGACCCTGTGATCCAGCTTCAGGAGGAAGCACATCTCAATACATCTTTCAAGCACTTTATATTTTTTGTCCAGGTAGGTTGGATTAAGAAGCCTTTACTGTTTAGTGCAATGGTGGTGAACCTATGGCATGCCTGATACTTGTTTTTAAGGCAAAAGATGTTAATATGTGAGTTGTGTTTTCTAAGCTAAAACTTCAGTATTTGGGGGCAGGGGGGATTTAGCTCAGTGGTTCCAAGGCCTGCACAGCAAGCACAAGGTCCCAAGTTCGATCCCCGGTACGAAAAAAAAAAAACAAAACTAATTGTAGTGTTGGATCCTTGCAGTAAGTGGGTTTTAGGTTGTAGTTTGGGCACTTGTCTCTAAAAGGTTCGCCATCACAGCTCAGTGTATATCTTTACCTTCAGAGCTCTGTGATGACTGTGTACACTGTCAGGATAGAACTTGCCATTTTGTCTGCATCTCCTATGCTTTCTGGGATGAGAAAGACTGGCATTTTGATTCTGAGTTTCATTAGTCCTCAGGTTGATGGCAAGCAAGTCTAAAATGGCTCTATGAAGTCTTGCTTTGTGTTTGCTTCAGTTACCAGGCCATGTGCAGGGCTAGATAAGGAATCTGAGTAGTTGGGTAGATCTGGAGATGAATTTGATCTCATGAGCCCTTCAGTACTAATTCCATGCTCTTTAACCCTCCATTTATTTGTATCTGTCCCGGACACTTTGAATATTGTACCTCTTTTGTTCTCCTTTTTCAAACCACATTCTAAGTAATTTTAAGTATGATGGAAGAAAAACCCAGAGTGTATTTCTGTTCTAGAGGTCCATTAGTCTTTGATCGATCTTGCAAGTTATGTTTAGACCTCAAAGAACTGGCTTTACACATGTAGACTAAGATTAGTGAGAATATTCTTACCTAATTCTCTAATTAGAGAAATAATAAGCAAAAATGAGAAAGTGTTGGAAATGGATGAGCTGACCAGTTTGTGTATATATGTATGCATGTATCTATTATTTTGGTGTAGAGGTTGAGAGTGGGTAACCAGAAGAAACACAAAGTTTGAAGTTATGTTGTGTATGTGTATCTGTGGGCATATGTGTATAAATGCCTTTTTTACTTCCCATCTACACTAAAAAAAGTGTCCATTTTCCCTCTATACATACTTTTCACACTGAAGGCAAATATTTTATATCTCACTTTCATCATAGAAACACTTTTTAAGATGTTATAATTTGCCAAAACTGTTGCTTTGAAGAATACTACATCTGTGGGCTTCCAGGAACACAAGAAACATCCTAGAATTTGTATCTGTGCTATGGCGTGGGTAGAACATGATTGCTAAAGATGGGGTTTTAGTGGTTTAGAAGAGTATATTTTCCCTGTACAAGGGTTAGTTTTACTTTGCTCTCTATAGTCATAGAGTGCACTATGTTTTCTAAGTCCTAGCAAGTAGTAGGGGATTGATACATAGCATTTACCGTATCTGATCATAACGACATTTCAGGAAATTGTGAATTTATTAGTTATATAGTATCACTCTTTGATTGAATGGTACCTTTTCTGGGCCCAGTAACTTAGAAAATCTTGCCCTGGTCCTTCTCTAGCTGTAGCTCCGACCAAATACTTACCTAGATCTCTTCTAGGGTATCCTGGAATACCTGAGATCCGGGAATTCTCTGCCTCCGAGGTCCCAAGTGCATCGTTAGGGTCTATGATGCTTTTCGTTGAGTTTATTCTTTGGAGGATAGAACACATCTCTGATAGGTATACTTATAGGCCTGAAGAGTAGCCAGATGACAGGTTTTTTTGTAAGGATATGTGGATATTACCCAGATATGTCAGCCAGGGTGTCCATAATTGCTTGCATGAGGCACTCTGAGGTTCAGGATGGAGCTAGGTGTTAGAAGAGCAGGGAGAGCCAGGTATGGTGGCACATGCCTGTAATCCCAGCACTCAGGTGGTTGAGGCAGGAGGATTGTTTGAGGCCAGCCTGGGATACTTAGTGACACCCTGACTCAAAAAAAAAAAAAAGAGCAGGAAGGTTTCCTGAGGGGTCTCTTTCTGTTACTATTTTCTGTGTAGTAATCCGAGGAATCTGAAGAATTATAAATTTGAATTTGTTTTCCTGATCACTATGAAGGTATATTTTGTCAAGGTAAGAGCACAGAGTGATTTATTTAAAACATCAGCTTAATGTAAATTTAATACTTTTAGTCACTTGATATGTGTCCCTTTGTGTTCTTGGCCCATACTCCACAAATCTTAGGAGTGAGCCTGCTAATTTAATGCACCTTAATGCTTCTCTGTTCTTATTGAGTTGTTCGGCACATGTAATAAATGAATTAAATCAGGAGGTGAGAGTCACAAGGGTGAGACTTTTTTCTTTTTTTTTTTTGGTACTAAGGTGGAACTTCAGAAGAAGCACGGATTAATTGCTGCAATTGTAGTTCAGTGATAGAGCATACGTCTAGCATTGGAAGGCCCTGGGTTCAATCCCCAGTACCCCAAACAAAGCACAATCACCCCAAAGCACAAATTAACCTGGCAGTTCTCATTTGTTCTTTGCAGGATTTTGTCATTTGTGTATTCTACTTATTCGTGTTGTTCTCATACCATATTTTATGAGATCCTATGGATTTATTTATTTTTGGTACCGGGGATCAAACTCAAGACCTTGCGCTTGCGAGGCAGGCGTGGTGCCAATGAGCTAAATCCCTGCCTCCTCAGATATATTTATTTATAATCAAGTTTTTACTCTTCATGTAATGCTCAAGTTTGCATGATAAACTACATTTTTAAAATCCCTACTTGGTTGATAATGTTTAAATGGTGCCTAGGTTATTTAAAAAGATGAGCAGCCACTCCCATGTATTAAATTTTACTTTGTGCCAGGAATTACATAACATGGTTAACATCAATGATTACATTTCGTCCTTAGTCATGAGGGTGGGATTAAATATTTTTTTAAAAAAATAACAAAACATTTATTGGTGCATTTTAAGCATACATAATGATACCTATTATAGGGAATTTGCACCTGCACATGGTATATCCGTGTCTTTCCCCCCCTCCCCTCCATCTTCATCCCCCCTATGTACAAAAGCTTAGTTTCCATTTTTTTCCTTCTATTTTCACTTTTTTTCTTGCCCCCTCCTTCTGCCTCCTCCCTCCTTGTTCCTATTCCCATTTGAACATTTTCTTCCCATCTCCCAACATCTGTTACACATTTTAGTCCTTATTTTCACTTTTAGTTTCTCACATCAGAGAAACAATGTGGTATTTAAACATGTATGTCTGATTTATTTCACTTAAGAGTATGGTCTCAAGATCCATCCATTTAGCTATAAATGTCTGAAGCACATCCTTCTTTATGGCAAAGTAGTACTACATTGTATAAAAAACATATGCTTTTTTATCCATTCATCAGTTGATGGAAATTTGGGCTGTTCCCAAGATTTAGCTTAGCTATTACAAAGTGTGCCGCTATAAACATTGGATGTGCATATATTGCTGTGGTATGATGCTTTTAATTCTTTCAGGAAAATACCAAGAAGAGGAGTATCTGGGTCAAATGGAACCTCTAGTTTTAGTTTTTTAAGGAATCTCCACACTGATTTCCATAGTGGTTTCACCAGTCTATACTCCCACCAGCAGTTGGGAAGGGTTCCTTTTTCCCCACAGCCCCTCCAACATTTGTTATTGATTTCATTTTTTGGTACTGGGGATTGAACTCAGGACCTTGCACTTGCCAGGCATGGTGCCACTAAGCTAAATCCTGAGCCTGGTTCATTTCTTGATAGCAGCCATTCTTTCTGGAGTGAGATGGAATCTCAGCGTAGTTTTAATTTGCATTTCTCGAATAACCAGTGATGTTGAACATATTGTCATGTATTTATTTGCTGTTAGGACTTAATATTAGATGTAAAAACATAGTATCAGGAGAGGTTGAGTGATTTCATTGGACACAGAGCAAATACTCAAAATTTTTTTCAAATCTTTTATTTCAAAAGCTAATCTTCAACAGATGTCAATTGTAATCTGCTGTGGAATGAGAGGCAAATAATATTTTTGTCTTTTTTCTGCATAGGAGTTCAACCTTATTGATAGAAGGGAACTTGCACCACTCCAAGAACTGATTGAAAAGCTCACCTCAAAGGATAGATAAAAGCATGCAGAGCTATGCAAACTGTTCCTCAAATGAAGCTGTGTGGAGTGTGTTTGGGGTGTTTGTCATATTTTATCTGGATTTTGTCTTGGGTCTGGGTGGCTTGTTGGGTTCTCTTTTCTTTGTTCTGAATATCTTAAAACATACTCTATTGGTAGAGGAAGCCAAGAACCATTCTCTCCATTTGAAAGGAGTAAGTTTTTGTCTTAGTGGCTTACAGTATTTTTTTTAAACATGACTTTGGATTTTTTTTTGGTACCAGGGATTGAACTTGGGACCTTGCGCTTGTGAGGCAGGCAGCAGAACCACTGAGCTAAATCCCTGGCCCAAGGAGTTTTAATAATACTGTGTGCTGGAAGAAAATGCTGATGGATGGGATTCTGTGTTGTATAAATCTTGGCACATTGTGAAGTCCCCAAGAGACTTGTTTTTAAGTGCCTTGGCAGGCTCACTTCTGAGATGCAAAGCACAGACAAAACTGAACAGGGCTTGAAACAATATTAAGATTACTATCCAGGGCACTTACTGGTGCATACTGTAAAATAATCTATGATAAAAAGCCATAGTTTACCTAAATTGGTGTTCTCCAGCTTTTACTACATTGAAGAAACATTTGTAAAGGTATGCATAAAACAAAAAAATTAGTATTTCTTAATTATTTTTGATATTGACAGTAATATATTCTATTCAACAAATGCTTAAAATACTATATTCAGGTCTTTTTCCATTCTTAATATCTGTGATATTGAAACTTGAGGATGTTAAAATGTAATATCTATTGCATTTTGGCTTCTTTCTGCATGTTAACTGCACTGTGGGTACTAAACTTCAGGTTATGTACAGGATTGCCATCTTCAGAGGTGATTCTCAACTGTAAGGCTTCTTAGCAGTTTCCAAATGAGCCATAAGTCTGCAGAATAACCACTTACTTTGAAGAGTAGGGGGTAGAAGAGTGTTTTTGGCTAGGGAAGGGGATTAGTTTGTATGGGGAGTTAGGGATGGAATTAAATATGTGGAATTAAGTTCTAGAAAGTTTTGTCTTAAAACTCTTGAATAGAATGATGTTAAGATTTTAATCAGTTACTTTCTTTTAGGAATCAACTTCCATGAGAAGTTAAAAATACATTATTGATTTTAGGGAAAGACATTAAGCATGGATTTAAGGACTGTTTGAGAAAACTGATCACTTTTTCAGCATTTCCATTCAGTGAATGGATCTGGTATTTCCTGTCATTTTGAAATGATATATAGTACCTTCTTTGCATATTATAGGCCCAGTTTGAAGCATTTTGACTTCTGATTTTTCTATTGTGAAATGAATCTTTTTCTTTGCACTGATATCAAACAATGCAAATGCTAATTCAGTAGTTAAAATTTTAGTTGCCAGGACTTCCTACTGGATTAGTACTACCAATAAGAAGTTCAGAAACTTAGTTTTAAAAATAAATAGTAATTTTTTCACTTCAGTTTTGTTCTTGAGAAATACCCTTTCAGATTTCCAGTTTTAGTTTTATCATTTTTGGTAAATTTGCTTTCTTCAGTTAGAAATATGTACCATTCCTCCAGTTAGAAACATGCTTGTAGAACAGAAGTCCTTGCTCTGAATAGATTAAAAATGCTAGAAAAGAAGGTAAGTTTGTTTTTGTCAATAAGTAGAGCAGTGAGTGATACAGTTTAACACTTTTACAATTTGGATCACTAGGAACTGCCTTTTTCTCCATTTCATTTCTAGCAGTTAATGTACTAAGTATCAACAGTAGAAGTAACAGGAGGGCCTAACAGAAGCAAATGTTTACTAGTAATGTTTAATTATACGTGGCAACAAAAGCTAGCTGATTTTCTTAGAACAAACCTTTTAGAACACAGAATAGATAATAGTAACCACTGTGGGCTGGTTCAGACATTTGATATCATGATTTTTGAGTCCTATCTATATAAGGGAAATGAAACACAATTCCTCAACTAGTCTTCCATATCAAATGGTTTCCTGTCAGTCTAGTAACAAAAGGATTGCAGTAGCCAAATATAGAGAGAATAAGAAAATTGTTTTTGTTCATTTAACCCTTATATAGTAGTACACTGTAGAAATGGGAAAATATTTCCACAAATTAATATTTGGTAGTAGGATTTACTTTCCCGCTGTATGTGGACAGGAATTTGCTTTTACTTTGCCAGAATCTCAGGTGCCTGTTTCTGAGTATTCATTTATTCAGTTATTGAGAAGCAAGGATATATATATATACACATATACATACATACACACATACACACACATATATGGATATATATATATATGTATGTATATATGTATGTGTTTATATGTGGTAACAAAGAGTAGGGAGATGCCTGGCATCGTACATGGTGTTAGGTTGTTGCAAGAAAGGAAACTCTCACCAGAGCAGAGGAGAAGAACTGACTTAATAAAGTTGCTTTGCTTTGGTTGGTTCCTACATGTAAGAGGAAGATGCCCTTTACAAAATAAGGATCAAAGCTAGACTTTAGTGCAGAGCTTGCTTATAAATGTCTATTTAGATTCTTTTCAGATCTTTAATTTATAACCAAATTATTTTCCCCCTTTTCTTTATACAGAGTTGTAAAGCAGAAGTTTTCTCATCCTTTTTTGATTACAGCATCCCGTGAAATGTAAAGTAGTAATTTAACAAGGTATTATTAGCACTCATAGCAACTTGCTTAAATGTTGAATTGATGGAAGTTTGAGAAATTACTTTAAATGATGGACTAGTGGTGGTGGAGAAAAATTAATACCAGAAAGAGTGAGATTTTTAAAATCAGCAGTAGATGGTGCTACTGGCTTTCATTTGCCGACTTCCATTTCCTATAAAAACCATGGCAGTAGACCAACACTGAAACAATTAAGCACGTATTAGTTAGTTGGTGGCTTTGGAGGATAATGTATCGCACAATTTACCTCTACTTTCCCTGTTAATCGTTTGTAAATTCTAAATGGTCAGCATAAAATGTATTGGGGTAGAAGATATGGTTAGGGTAAAATATATTTCATACTGTGTTACTGCATGGCTAATCAGGATAGATGAAGCACTAAAATCTCTTACCAGGAAATAGAGATGATGTGGGTATTTATATTTTACATATGTAATCTTCAGATTCCATTTTATGTATTAACATTTTTCCTGCATATGGGAAAATGACAGATTTCTTTTATAGCTTTGTCTACACCCTCTCTGAGAGAGGTTTTGATAACCACTAAAATGGTAGACTATGAGATGAATGTATTTAAGTTGTAGAACTTTATTTTAAAATGGGTATGTCATACCTTAACATCCAAATCAGTTGATCTTCAGAGTAGTTCCCTTGGAAGGACTACTCATTACAGCTATCCTGCAAATCTTAATGCTTTTAGAATTCCTTTAGAGATGCTATGAGAATTAGCTTGTGACTATGCAAGACAACCACTTCATCATTTTAGTTGCACAGAAAATTTTTTGGCAGCTTAATACAACCTATCTTAATCATCAAACCCAATCTAGTAACTTGGTTGTTTTTTGAGAAGCCACTAGGGAAATTAAAAAGAATGTCATAGCCTCTGAATCGGTAGAAGAGAATGTTTTAAGCATTATTTGCATCATTGGTTTCTTGGTGTCACTATTTTCGAGTGGACAGTACCATTTGGATGTGTAGGCTTTTTAAAAAATTTTCTTTTAACTGTCTTACAGTTAAACTTTTTTTTAAAATCCTAATTTTTTCTCTAGAACTTGTTTTCTAGTTTTTAATCCTCTTTCCTGAAAACTTTTGAATTCTACCTGTGACTACTGTATGATAGTTTTGAGTTGGAGAATATGGAAAAATAGACTCAATATTTAAAATAGTTTTAAGGAAACAAAGCTTTTACCTCCATCCTTTTTTAAAACATACTTTTTCTCAAATGAACAATTTGACTTTAAAGACTGGGGATTGTTGCACAAGCAAATTGGGATAAGTTCTATGTACTAATTATGCTCAGTTTTAAGCCTAGATACCACAAAATACTGAGAATTTTATAACTATTTCATATATCACTTAAAACTTTAAAATTTGTTTTTCAGAAAAATGTGGGCCAAAAATTATTTGTGAATCGGAAATATGTCTGCATATTTTGCAGAGTTCTCTTATTTTGAAACTTACCTGGGATTTTAAAAAATATACCAATTCCTATGAACAGATCTATACTTTGAGGACCTCTTAAAATAATTGAAATTTCAAGGTTTGTCCTAATGTTAAGATTTACTGTAAGAATGACTTTGGTCCAGCTATCATCTTAATTGTGTTTGAGATGATAGAGGTACAGCTGTCTCACGATTTAATGGAAAAGTTTAACATGTAACAAAATTCTGACTGCAGATGATTTGAAATTTTCAGGATTTCATAATAATAAGCATTCTGAAAGTGTTAAAATGCCCTCCCAGTCTGCCACTTTAAGTTAATTTATTTTTGCAAAAGATAAAATACAGATTAGAATTTTGGGTGCTCTGTGTTTTATAATTGTAAAGCAAGTTTCTCTTTTTGCATATATTTCTATTCTGAACAGTAGTAAAATCATTGACCTTTTCCAGCTGTGTTTTCTTATTCATCTCCCTTTGAGGGACTAATGTGTGCGTGCACATACACGTGCACACACATGGAAATAAACCATTTAGGTTGATATGGTAGGTTTTCATTGTTAGTGATTTTGAAGTACTTATTGTCACATCAGTTTTTATGGTTGATAACTTTCTTTAAATGTGTTACCGAAACTGAGCTTATTAGTGATATAATAAACTTTCATATACCATACATGGATGATTCTTAAAGTTTTGCACAAGTTTAGTTTTTATTTATTTCTGAAACACTTAGTTGTGCATGTTTAGAATAGATCAGTGCGTTTTCATGAGAGAACTTTTCTCCTTTAATTGGTCTGCAGAAATGACTGTTTATGGGAAAACAGCTTTTTACACCCACTAAATTGTATTTGTTATTTTTGTACATGCATAACCAGGGTGGTAAGGACACTAACCTTTTAAGAAATACTTTGTTCTATTTGAATTTTTCCTATACTTTCGTTACTTAAAATCACCACTAGAAGCAGTGTCATGAAATCTAGGTTGAGAGAGAATACACTAAATATGAGAACACTTACATTTTAAATAGGAATCATTTCTGAAGAGAAAAGAAGAGGCATAATGCTGCTGTCAAGTGTTAGTAGCATGGGACAGCATTTACATTGTGCAGGTATTTAAGAGAGTGCACAAAGATAAAGATCCTGCTGTCCCAGAGATTAATAGCTGGAAGCTGGATATGGTGGTGCCTGCCTGTAATTATAGGTACTAAGGAGGCCGAGGCAGGAGGATTCTAAGTTTGAGTCCAGCTTGCACAATTTAGTGAGACACTGTCAAATAAAAAATAAAAAGGGGTGCGGCTGTAGCTTAGTGGTAGAATACTTGTCTTGTACGCAAGATTCCTGGGTTCAATCCCCAATACCACCAGGAGAAAAAGTACATAGCTGGAAGGGGAGAAATAGTCTAAAATATGAAATGCAACATGGTTGCTCTATTTTAAGCTGTGCCAAGATTACATAAATTGTAGTTACTGATCAAAGTTTGTCATCATTTTTATTTTAAAGGGGGATCTGAATATCGTATCTGTAATATGTTTTATTTGAAAGTTGTAAATACTGTATACAGACTTGGGATGGGAAGTATTTAAATTCTAGATTTTTTAAAAGGAAGAAACAATGTTTATAAGAAAAAAATCAATAAAGTTATGTTTGGTCATGAATCCTGACTGCATTGCTGTTATTTATATTTTACAATAGGTAGTCCCACAGTAAGCCCATTCCATGAGAAACTGAAGTCGTATGGGATATGCTGAGCATTTCAGAGCTCTTCAGCATTATTTTCTGTAGTGTTCACAACTCTGGATGTTAGTGTATTGTTGTGTTACAGACTAGAAAACTAATGCTTAGAAATTGTTCATCATTGATTTGATCTTGGTTTAAAAAGCCTTAAAATGCCTGAACTTGAAGTTAATGAGGCAAAACAATGATTTGTGGATATTTCCTTCAAGCTAAGATAATATCTAATACTTCGTCTTTATCATTAAATACTAATGAACAATACTGGAGAATCACCCTGATACTTAAATTCTGAAAGGAAATGTGTATTTAGAGCATTATTAGAAGTATGTATTTCAGAGGCACTTGTGCTTGGACTTTTCAGAGTAACTATATTTTGATGGTAGTGGCCACTCCCGTCTTAAGTCACTAATGGTATTTATGGAAAAGACAGGGAGTCGAAATGCCAGTCCATGCTGATGTGGACAGTCTGCATGATTTAAAATCACTTCATTATTTTGCTTGTTAACAGTATTTACAAAGTGCTGTATATAAAGAAATACATACTCGTGTACAGTAAAAATTAATTTTGGTAATTAGGTTAACTTACCTCTATTGTCTTGAATGTAAATTTTTAATTCTTCATATAACAGTGCTTGGAATGATGCATTTTTGGCAACACATAAGGTCTAAGTGATTATTCTTTTAAAGTTTTAAACAACCGTGCTTAATGGAAATTTTACCAAAAGACTGTACATACTTTTCCTTTTTTGATTTTTGAGACACAGTCTCACTATGTAGTTTAGAGTTGGTATTGAACTCATTATGTAGTGCAGGCTGGCCTTGAACTTGAGGTGACCCTCCTGCCTCAGCCTCCCAAGTGGGTAACACATTCTACAGGCATGTGTTACCATGCTGGGCTGTTTTTGTTTCAAAGTAATGAATTCAGCATCACATTTTCCTAATGAGCTCGGTTTACCTTTATAAGCATGCAGCAAAATATATCTTCCTTCGCTAAGCTATGGCTCTTGTGCTCTTCTAGTATGTTATTTTGCTTTCACATTTCAGATTTGTTAGAAGCATCCTGACTCTCACTCATGTTTTATTATGATGGCTTCTGAATCCTTGTTTTCTAGACAATAAAGAAAGTTGCAAGGGGAAATTTATAACTACGCTTACGCTGCTAAATGCTACACAGAAGTATTGGTGTGGTATGGACAAATGATAGGCTGTATCTGTCTATTACTATAATCAGTGTTAAAGGCCTTTTACTTTTTCTGCCTTTGTTTTCATTTTCTGAGTGGGTTGGTTTAGAGTTTTCATAATAAATCTATATTAACAAGACTTTTTTTGAGATGGGGTCTTGCTGGCCTGCAACTCCTGAGTTCAAGCTATCCTCCTGCCTCAGCCTCCCCAATACACAACTCTATTTTCCTTACAGTTTGAACAAGGGAAGAATTCCCAAACTGAAGGGGTAGTAAGATTTCTGGCAAGGAACACTCCTCTGACTGGGTGGGTGCTTAATACTCTTTTATCTGCAGTTCTAAAATCTACAAAGTTGGGGGGAAATTTTTTTTTGGTACTGGTGACTGAACCTAGGTCCTTCACACAGCTACATCCCTAGCCCTTTTTAAAAGTTTGAAACAGTGTCTCAAAAGTTCCCTGGGCGGGGCTCAAACTTGTGATCCTCCTGCCTTATCCTCCTAGAGTGCTGGGATTCCAGGCATGCACCATCACACCAAGTTGAAAATATTTTCTGGAGGTTAGGAAACAACTGAATTCAATGCAAACTGAACTGTAAGTCTATCTCACTTAAAGTGAAAACCCTGTTTCACTGCAAAATATCAGTACATTTAACACCTCTGTAAGTGGCTACTTATATGCAACATATGCACTGTAATTTTTGGTAAGATTTTGAATTCCAAAACATCTGCCTATAAAGGTTTCAGGTAAGGGATTATGGTGGAAGGTGTCTTGAAAAGTGCTTTTCTAGAGTCTCTTCCTTGCTATATCAGACTGTAGGAAAATGGGACATCATATTGGATTTAACGCTAAGAGAGCTAGCTGGGTTCTCTATTCCCTTCATTTGCTTCGTTTATATTTGTTTTGTTTTTTGGGACAGGGTCTCGCTATGCAGTTCAGGCTGGCCTGGAACTCACGGCGATCTTCCTACAGGTGTGCACTACTGCGCCTGGCTTCCTTTATATTTTTGAAGTATACTTTTAAGAGAGGAACTCACGTTCTCACTAGACACTGGCAGAGCTGGGATTTAAAACTAGTTTTTGATTTTCCAGGGCTTAAACTTTTTTTCTGGGGGTTGAGGGTCCTCGTTATGTAGTTCAGACTGCCCTCAACTCCATATGTAGCCCAGGCTGGCCTCGAAATCGCACAGATCTTCCTGCCTCAGCCTCCTGTGGGATCAAAGTCATGTGCCACTCGCCGGGCTTCTTTGGTAGGGTGTTACACTTCTTTAGTGACTTGTGTGAATCATGTGGAATTTTTACTCCACACTTCCAAAACTCAAAAGATACAGAGTGAGATTTGTCCCTATTAAAGTTCTCAGAAGTTTGCCTTACTTCGCTCACTAGTTGCTGAAATTTCATTTAATACGTTGTCCCCCAAGTTTGGGTGTGGAATATGACATCTAGTAGCTTCCCCCCCATTTTCCCCCAATCCATTGCCAGACCTGACGACAATTATTTGAGCCTTTAAGGGGTCCAGCTGCTAATCACTGCGGGGACAACCAGTAATATTCATAAAATAACCGTATAATATATGGAAGTTCCCATGGGCTCATTTTAATATTTTGCTTTTAATTTTTGAAAATGAAGTCACCATTTTCCCCTTCTTTGGCAACAGTTTTAAGATGCATTTCAGGACTGAGGATAGTTACAAGGTAAAAAGTAGCAAGCCCTTTCGTTTCGATAGACAATTTGCCCCTCCTGAGCCCCCAGTGCCACCCCGTCCGACTCCACCACACGGACTCAAGCTGTGAGTCTAGTCCCATCCTTGGCCCTCTCCTTCCCACGAGCCAGCAGAATACCCTTCTCCTACTTCCTCGCTCGACCACCGCGCCTGCGCTTACGGAACTGTCGAACTCCCGCCCTTTAAACCCACGTGACCTGACGTGGCCACGCACGCACGGCCGTGCCGCCAGCCGGCGGGAGAGCGCGTGGGGCGGTAAAGAAAGCGCGCCCTGTGGGCGGGGCCGCGCCCAGGCCCGCCCCATCGCAGCCGCCTCCGCGCGCCAAAGTCAAACCAGGCCGCGGCGCCGAGCGACCCTGGAGTGTTGAGCAGGTTCAGCGCGCGAGCTCGGCGCCTCGCTCTTCTTGCCCTCCGCGCCGCCGACGCGAGAGACCGCCGCACCACAAGAATGGCCACTCCGCCCAAGAGAGTGTGCCCGTCCCCTACGCCCAGCTCCGAGGGCTCCCGCGGCGTCACGAAGATCTCCATTGAAGGGAACATCGGTAAGGAGCCCGCCACCCTCCGACCCGGACTCCCCGCCGCCTCCCGGCCTCCCTGTGGCTGCAGCTCTGTGCGGCCGGGGGCACAGGCCGGCCGCCCATCCGGTCGCTCCGGTGAGAGTCGCTTGCGCTGCGCGCTTCGGCGCCCCTAGGACGCGCGGAGACGCGGGCCTTTGTCTAGTTGATCTCCTGTAGCATCGTTGTGGATGTGCCTGTTTCTGTAGCTCCCCTTTTTATTGATGGACAGTATTCCATTGCATGGATCTGCCACAATTTATTCCCCAGTTTTGCAGCTTTGGGATTATTTCCAGTTTTTAATCATTGTTAATACAAGTAATGTGAGCATTCAAATACATGAAAAGAGGTTTCTGCTGGTCTTAATAGCAAGGATTCCTCATCCCCTTACCCACATCCAAGTAAACTCTGGGTCTAACTGGCTAACGTTTCTGTTCCTAACCTTCATGGGCGCATGCTGCACCATGGATGTCATTTTGCAAGGTGAACACGAATTCCTATTTTTGTATATTCCCTACTACAGGAAACCTACTCTTGACGCTTCCTGTTTTGGTAGAATTTTTACTCTTTTGGCTGCAACGTGAGTACTGGCCATTCATGCATTACAGCAGACAGTTTGGCACATTCAAAGCACAGTCGCTTTTTTGAGAAGGCAAAGCAAGCAGGTGCTTTAAGCGTTCCGAAGAATACAAGAAAGCTGAAGACTCCCTCAAAGAAAGCCTATTTTATTGCTCCAGTTTAAAGGCCCCACTGGGAAAGATCCCTGTTTCCTTTTAGCAGTATAGGTTCTTTGAGGATGCGTGTTTACTGCTATGATTTCTCACAGCCTTTTAGTGGTTAAGACCATATGTAAACAGGAGAAACTAGTAAACAAAGTATCTTAAAGGGAAATGTGAACAGATAACCCCAGTTAGGCAACGTATCATATTTAGAAATCCAGGGCCGGGGATTTAGCTCTGGTTCCTCCACCTGCCTCGCAAGCACAAAGACCAGAGTTCAAAGACCAGAGTTCGATCCCCAGTAACAAAAAAAAAGAAATCCATTTTCTCCCAAGCATCTTTAATCTTCTCAACTCCTGAAATAATTTTTCTTTGTTTGTTTCTGTCTTTCTCTGTTGGCTTTTTGGTAGAGGGCCTCACTCTGTAGTTCAGGCCGGACTTACTATATAGCCCAGGCTGGCCTTAAACTCTCAGTGATCCCCCAGCCTCAGCCTCCTGAGTGCTAGGATTACAGGTGTGTACTATCATGCCTGGCTGATAAGTTTTTAATGTGTCATTCCATCTCCAGTTTGTCTTAACTGTTTCCAGAGCAGTCAGTAGTTATACAAATGCAGTTGTGTTATAAGTTCTCTTCGCCATGGTTTCTGTGTGCCATGTAGTACGAATAATCACATTATTTCTCGTCCTAAAACTGTAGGCATTGGAAGTGTTTTCATATTGATTTTAGAGTTGTTTACTTCTTCATTA